TACTAATAATAATAATAATAATAATAATAATAATAATAAAATTGACTCAGTGATATTGCAATCAACTGTAAATTTTACTGAAATAATAGATATGGTATGAACTATTTTAAAGATGGCAGAAAAAAAAGACGGTTTAGATGTACAAAATGGGTAAAGACCAAAAGAGATAAATCTATTGAATAAATCATACATTTTGCTTTAACATTTTGGTAGTTCTGCAATTCTTTCTCATAAATATTTTTCTCTTCCTCCAATATTGGTTTAATACTCTTGGTTTAGATAAGTAAAATTCTCATTATTTTCTTTGTTTTCCCCAAAAGTAYGCCACACAACAAAGGTATTTAGTACCTAAAAACAACTGAAAGAGATTTATGCACTGATGCAGAAAGCTCTTTTTATTTTTCGTCTAAATGCTTCTTGAGATAGTCAGTGACCCATGAAGTGCACATCTTTCTTTCAGTTTCACCTGCATGGAGCCACACAAAAGCGTGTAGTCAGTCAGGAAAACAAGAGTCTAATGTTGAGTACAAATATTATTCTTAGAGAAAACTGTGGCAGGGTGAGAGGTCCGCAGAAACAACATAAGGAGTCATAAAAGGACAGATGAGACAATGTTTGCCCACCCATAAAAAAATAAGGAATGGGGTCAGCAATATTATCTCTCTGAAGGATAAAGTCAGAGTGGGGGCAAACAAGACAGTAACATAGATAAAGAAACAAAGGTCCTTCAAAGACAATTTTTTAAACTTTACTTGCAAAGCTATAAAATGTGCAAAAGGAGCTGGATTGCAGTTGGTGGCCTGTTATTAACTGCATTAGTTAGAAATTTTAAATCAGAACTTTTTTTTCTAAACTATTTCATCTTTGAAGAAATGGTTTGACATTCATTACATGTAAGTACACAGAAAATCTGATTGAATGTGAATGCTTCAGTTCTCTGGGTAGAGACACGGATGGGGAACTTATTCCGAAGGATAGGTTTCGGATTTACAGAGACACAAAGTTGGATCTGCAAACACTTTGATATCTTTGAGACTCACATGTTTACTAAATTCAACATCATCTTCCCCTAAAAGGTCATGATCACCATGGAACAGTTTGAAATTGGCAACAATCTTTTAGGGGATTTGGAACAGTTGCCTTCTACATTTTTTTTAAATCCAGGCTATAAATAAGAGGGGGTGGGGGTTAAATAAGATGAGCTTTGCCTATAGTTTTGCAAATACTTCTGATAATGATGTCACACCAAAAAATGTCTATTGTAAGCTATTCACTGCYTTTTTTTTCTTTTTGATTTCAGATATTTTTAGGAAAGTAATAAAAGCACTAGCGTGTCAGTCAGCATGTGTGATATAAATTTGCACATATTGCACTCATGCACACAGGTTTTTACACATATTTTACTTTCATGTTTTTATTGTTATTAGGGCTTGCCATTTCAATGGCAGCACCTATTACTATCCACCTTGCAAACGGTCTCTATACTTTATATCWTACCCTTCCATCAAATTCATGCAGCCTGAACAGCAAAATGTACCCACAYAAATGTTATATCAAAATATYAATATGACCGACTTGGTCCAATGTGTGCYATTACTTTTAAGGTGACATAAATTACAAAAAAAAAAACTATGTCCAAAAAAAAAATAAACTCATGGGACCACTGAGCGCATTCTAAAGTCACATGACCTCGTGTGGAGAGTTCTGTGAACTTTGAATGATTTCTCAGCAAACAACTTCTTCCTACAGCCACTATTTTYATGATACACAGACAGATTATGCATCAAAAACAGATATTTTTGTCTTCTTTCAGCCWATATTTCTGGTTTTATTGTAGGATAAATAGTTTTCTCTCAAAGTGCCACATAAGGCATATTGGTACCAGTTTTTGTCCTCTATTTTGCCATGTAAAATCTCTCTCACTCTGTTCTTCAAAACCAAAACAAAGAGTATTTTTAACTCATCAAATCTCTGACATAAAGCACTGTAAAAATTAGAAAAATTCTAAGAGTAAGAACTAATTATATTTTTCACTGATAGTCCATTTTTTTCATTAGACCTTATRGTTTTTACATGTTTATTTGAACAAAATAATTCAGAAGTATTAATTTTGAAAGAGACTTACTGTGCAGCTGCTGTGCCCTGCCCTAAAACAACATAACAATCTGGCCTTCTAATTGGCTGASGATTTTATTGGGCAGATTAGCCTCTTGGCTGAGAGGGAGAAAAAGGGAGTTTGTGTAATTTAACATGGCACCCAAATTCCCAAACGTTTTGAGACATTCAATGCTGAAATTTGGTGGGTTGGTAGCTGAAAGCTAACCCAACACATTCTAAATGCAATGCTGATAAAAAAAATAAGYTAACCACTAATGTTAATTTTAGATAAGACTACAATTCAGTCATTTTGAGACACACAAAGCCAAAAAATAGTATAATAGTAGCCAAGAACAAGCTTTGACATATTCTGAATGCTAATTTGAAATTTAAGATGACCACAATAGTTATTTTGAAACTGCAATGACTGGCCATTTTAAAACAAGAAGAATTGGAAACTATGCAAGAAGCCCTTTCATAGTTAATCTAGGAAATATTCTAGTTGTCTTTATTGTTCCTGTGRTTTTATTGTACTTTRCTGAATGTATTTTTTGAGTCTGTGCAGCAACACCCTTTAAAAAACAAGCAAAATGTCTCCCAAGGGAGACAGATAAAAAACTTTGACTTGACTTGGCATATTGTACGTAGACTTAATAGTTGTTATTATTCTGGTTTATATATATA